CACCAAAACTGGTACCTCGCATATGGACATTCTTCGGGTGCATGAGCCTTGCGCTTGGGTGTACGAGAGTGCTGTCGTTGTAGTTAGTCGTTTGGCGCGACTTGAATAGATTGTGGGATGTATTCATTCCAAATTGGCCAATCACCGCCCACTTGCCGTGGCTCATTTGCCAAGAACAGCGTTTGATTGGCGCAACTGATACTCTTTTCAGCCAATCCCACACACGATGCTACATGCCATTGATACGTACTAGTAGGAGGGAGGGTAGGGTATATATCCCTTGCGTATCACGGACATCATGCTCGCTTGGCGACGAGGACATTAGCCCCTGCGTAAGCGCTCCTTCTGCGGCAAACGACTGTGAGATCGACGTCGAGGAGCGCGTCTTCTTGGTATTGCCGCCTGCCTGAAAAGGTTCCCTTTGGTTGATCTTGTCGAGCGAGGAATCCATGCCGGCGGCCTAGAGTGCGATAGAGACCGCAACACGCAACCAATGGTCGACACTGGCTCGCATGTCCACCACATTACTGACACCACCGCAGTGAGCGCCAGGAGGCAAGTGTCTTTCTCGTAGTTGGCGCTGCAGAGGGATCTCCCAGCCATGCATTCAACAGCAAGAGCATGCCTATGGCGAGTGACCAATGTCTTCTCTGGCGCCAAGCACGCGCGTCGTTTGTGTTGAGAAAAGAGTTAAATGTATTAGTTGGTTAAGTATGAAAGCACTACTAGTACGTAGTTCTTGTGTCGAGGTCCTCGATCGTGCTGGACATGCCGCCGAAGAGGTTCGGAGCAGGACAAGACATCCAAGCCGTATGCGACGGCCGGGCGCATTCTTGGCTTTGTTGTAGCGGTACTTGGTCGGCGGTTCTACAGATTACGGTCAGTTGCACTCGCTACGCGCCAAATGAACGTCCCATCACCGGCGGTCCCGAATCGCTCGGCCCGTATCTAATACCATTTGAACCAAGAAGCGCACGAACCAAAACACAGTTGGTGTACCGTTGGTCACCAGCTTCGTAGATGGCGACGAGCGTCTGCCACCTATCGCTGGTCAGCTTGCAACGGAGCACGGTCTCGACGCTCTTCCGGGGTTGTTGCCAAAGTCGGTCGGCGACGCGGTGTCGGGAAGCTTCGCCTTCGCGATGCGCTTCGAGATCGCATGGAGATGGCGGTGCTGAACCTTGCCATGGGCAGACTGGTGGCGCAGCTTGAGCATGAGGTCGGTCTGCGTCGTAGTGTCCTTGGTGCGGCGGAGGTTGAGGCATGTAACCCTGCAGTATCGCGCGCTTGGCCGAGCGCTTGGCCGAGGTGCTCGGTGCAAGCGCCGAGATGCGCCGAATCGCTTGCGGTGGAGATTCCCCCGCCGAGGTGTTGTCGCAGGTACGCTTCGAGCCCTAGGACATGAGAACGATGAGCACGTCCGGACGAGACAACACACGACGTACTCCGAACTTGGGGTTTGTTGCGCTTGGTCGTCGTTGTCATACACGTCGCGATGGAGCCGGGTGGACTCACACCTTGCTCCCATCGCCGTGGTCCTGACAATGGCGTCAATTCTACCATTTCAGCGAATGAGCACTATAGGACCCACTCGCAGCGGGTCGACTTGCAACTCGAAAGTTGCGCATGGTGCTCGTGGCACCCGGTGCTACGACGACGGTACCCCCATCTTGTCATCCGCAAAGTTCGCGAGAGCGACGTCGTTGATGGACGCGCGCGAAAATCTTTGGCCCGGAAGCATGTTGCGAATTAGCGCTGTCGGTGTCGGCGTACTCACGAGTGGGTTCTGCAACGCGAAAGGCAACGTGGCCGCTTCTTCAACCACGGCCGACTATAGTTGATTGACCCACTTCTTCAACCGCGTCCGACTATAGTACCTCGTGGAAGCGACTGACTCCAAATGCGCCAATCACCGCGTTCATTTTTTGGCTTATTTGCCAATCACAGGCCATTAAGAACAGCGTTTGATTGGTGCAAAATATATTCTTTTCAACCAATCCCACATACGCTTCTACTTACACCATGGACCGTCAGAGCCCGTCGACGTCGGTGGGCCAGCTCAAGGCAGCGAGCCAGGAGCTCCGTACCCTCCTGCCCAAGCTCATCGACGCAAATGACAGCGTAATGATCTGTGGTGCTGCCACGTATCTCAGACCTCATGCTCGCTTGTCGACTAGGACATTAGCCCTCGCGTGGCCCGAGCGCTCCTCCTGCTGCAGAAGATCAAGAGCTCGACGCGCGATACCTTCCTCGAGACCGAGGCTTGGCGCAAGCGCGTGGCCGACCAAAAGGATCTCGTCGAAGCGCACCACCTCAAGCTCCAGAACCTCATGTACGAGAAGGACCACTTGCTGCGCGAAATCAAGCGCTGCCGCGGCTTCCCGTACGTAGTGAAGTACGATCTGCGTCCAGCTCAACCAGCGATCTGTGCTAGAATGAAGGAGATGGACAAGATCGAGTTCCCGGAAGGCCAGCTGCCCGTGACGGGCGACCCCGACATGCATGCCGAGCACCTTCTCCGCTTGGAAACCGAGAAGGAAGCCCGCGAAGAGTACACTTCCTCAACGCTTCTGCCTGTTCCAACATTGACTATGTAGAGTCCAAGAGCAACAGCGCCAGCTGCACGCCAAGGTTGCAACTCTCGACGAAGCCGTCGTCGAGAAGCGAGCTTTCTTGGAGTCGCTGCCTGCCGAGATCGCCGCGATCGAAAAGGTACGTTCTGGTTGCCCACAGCGTCCTAACTCTCCAACAGGCAAGCGAGCCGCTCCAAGCTCTGCTCTCGATCCCAGTGACAACGATGGACGTCACGCGCCAGCACGACGCCAAGGAACTTCCGTCGGCGCTCTACACGCTCTACTGCGAGCTCGAAGCCTACACGCAGGCCATGGGTAGCGCCCACTACTCTAGCGTCGTGCTCATGCTACCTCTGTAGGTGCGGGGTCCATGCGGCTGCGCATCGCGCCGGCCCAAGCGACGTCGTCGTCCTCGACCAAGGTCAGCTCGCGCGGCGTCCGTGGTATGTACATCGGTTCCATGTGCCTCGTACACTATTTAAAGTGCTTAGAACGGACGACGCCGGTGCCCGAGGTGGACGAACGCGCGTCCAAGCGCCAAAAGACAGCGCCGCTCGTGTCTCGGTCGCCGTCGCCGGCCGTAGCGTCACCGGCACCCGCGTCCGCAGCTTCAACTAGCTCGGCCGTCGTGCAGTCGGCGGAAGCCTACAGCGTCGCACCCAAGGCCGTCGAGCTCGAGGTACGTTTCTTCTCCACTCTACAAGCACTCTAACCCTTGTTGATGGTAGCTTTTGCCACCGACAGGGTCGTCGGCGTCGCCGTTGAGCGTTCGCTTTATCTATCTTCCGGTGCTCGGTATCGTCACCGTCGAGGTACTGACGCTTGGTATACGAAGCGCACTACGTTGTATTAGACGCCGGCGTATCCGCACCTGCTGCACAACCTGTTCGCTAAAGACGCGGGCGACGTGCAGCCCAACGTCGCTGCTTCGTACGCCCTTGTAACCGAAGACGGCCACGAAGTCGACATGGACTTTCCCGCCGATGCGCCCGCGCGGCCCTATCTCTGGGCGCAATGGATCTGCGGACTCGCCTTCCAGCGTCGGTCCGAGCCCACGCGTCCTGAGCCTTCTATCCGCTGCGTTTTGACCACGGTACTTGCGACGACATGCAGCGAAATCAACTAGTTCTATCTTATTGGTAGCTTGCCGAGCGCTACGAGAGTCGTGTCGCGCTGCTGGCGCTCTCGGATTGTCTCGCGGCGCGACGTGTCGAGGCGCATGCGTCGCTGGCGGCGGTGTTGCCCAAGGCGCGCAAGACGACGCTACTCAAGTGGACGGCAAACGTGCGGCCGACCGACGCCTTTGCGACGTTACACGCTGAGAACAGCTACTTTCGCGCCGTCCTCGAACACGACCGCTGTACGAATTGAGACGCTATCTGAAGCGACGACTCATGGGTCCTAGGCCGCGTCAACGTGTTTGTGGAGGTGACGCCGGCGTACCCGCAAGTGCCGCCCGTGGTCGTCTGCGAAAGCGAGCGACGGGCCAACGTGCCGACCGCCGACCAGCTCAAGGTACTACGGCAGTCTTGTAACCTTGATTAGGACTTTTGGGTGGGATGTAGGACATGGCGCTCGAGGTGCGTCTCGCGAGCAAAACGTGGCGCGCACCGGAGGCCAAGCCGTGGCTGCTCATGCACCAGATCATGACGCTCATGGTAGACGACTTGGTTGATGTACGATTGCAAAAGGTTGATGGAACATTGACTCGTAGATGTGTCTCGACGAGGTGCATGCCAAGGGCGACAAGTACGCGTTTGGCTCCAAGCGCGCAGAGGCGGTGTTGTCCGACGACACTGCGTAAAGCAAAAGAACTTCAACTACATACGAATACACTCTTCCGCTGATTGAACGTGCTACGATGGTGTGAGAAATGTCCGCTTTGGGCGCTGATGGCCTCGCCAAAGCGACTTCGTGTCGGAAGCTCCACTGGCCGTTCACACTGCTCGGACACCGGATACCAGCTAGAGATGTCAAGGACTGCGATACCTACTGGGCTAACATCTTCAATGTCTCGCCTGAATCTGAGCTGCTTCGCACGCGCATCGCGTATCTTGACGCCGCTTCTGAGATTGCATTGGCCAAGATCCAGCTACGGTCATCACAAAACAAGCAGCTGCGACGATGGACCACAGCTTCATCTTCCATCGACCCTTGCACCACCTCCTCAACTACTGGGAACCACACGTGGAGTTGTCGCCTCGTTTCATTGTCTATGCGTGCAGTCGTCAAAGACGCGTACATTAGGTCTGACATCTTAAGATAACCCGTGGTTAACAGACACTCGTCGCCACAACCGTAGCCCGTTTTGAGACCGCTAAAATGTTACCAGCGGCAGTAGCGTTGCCATCGTGATTGGCTCGCTGCGGCAGTTGGAGAGGACCAGAAACCGCTTGATGGCCTGCTGTGAGCATTGTTTCTTTCACCATGGCGTCGACGGCAGCGTGGGAGTGCAATGGCTGCGGGGCCAAGAACGTTGACAGTTTGTACTGCGTCATGTGTGCGAGTCCCGATCCGCGCAAAGTCCTCAACTCGCCGACGAGCGTCGAGTCGTGGGCTTGTGCCAAGTGTACTGTGCACTACGAAGCGTACGCGATGGCGTGCAATCTCTGCAACGAGCCGCGCCCAACGATGCAGGCGCAAGGGCATTTCGCCACCGACGACAGCTATGGCACCGCGTTCGATGATACTACAGAGGCAGAGATCGCCACGCCGCCCCCGCCAGCGGAATTTGACGCCAACCCCGCGACGCCGCAACCCGTCGATACGAGCACTTGGTGGTCACAGGATGACGACGAGATGGCGGTGATTCAAGGCGGCGGGAGTGCTAAGAAGACCAAGGCCCAAGTGGCGTACGAAGCCTTCTGCGCCGACCCGACGCAGGCGTCGATCAAGACAGAGGACCTCCGCAAATCCCTCCGCGGCCCGAAACTCCCGCCAACGTACAACAAGTCCCACTACTTTGACGTCGAGGTCGCCAAGGACGTGGTCGTGAAGGAGGTGCTCCGGCGACACCGTAATGGCCAGCCGCTCCCTGACTTTCTCACCGAGATCGTCCCGATTCAACAAGCCCTGCGCCACCGCTCCAACTGGCGGCCGTTGCTAGCCATCAAGAACAAGATCAACGAGCGCCTCGTCGCCGCCTGCGTCATGAACGACGAGCCGGCGATTGCCTCGGGGCACGGCCTTTCCAAGCTCGTGAATGCGTGGCAGCACATTGAAAGGACTTTGGGCGAATTAGGCTGGGCCTACGACGCGCTGCGAGCTGCGTATGCGTCCGTAACGGACGAAGCCACGGGTGTCTCGGTGATTATATTGAACTCGCCGCGCGCCGCAGTGCTGACCACACCTCGGCCGCCGCCCTTGATGACGCGACCAAGGACGCGTTCGAAGGGCATGTGTTGCAGCGGTTGGAAAAGGATGGACTCCTTTTGCGCACGGCGGATGGTCGCATCGACAAGCGGTGCGCTGCCGTTCGCAGTGGCGACCTCACGCTCAAGGACGACGGGACCGTAGACCAGCGCTGCAGCGCGTACCGCGCGGTGCTGTCGTCTTTCTCGGAAGCAACGTGCGACTAGAGACTTAAAAGCGCCAGCAGCGACATTCGCGGCGCTCAAGAACCTTGTGCGCACGGGCGATTTGTACTTCACCACAAGCGGCAAAGTCGATCGCCGCTGCGCCGCCGTGCAGCGCGGCCTGGTCGTCGTGCGTGAAGACGGCAAAATCGACGACGGGTCGCCCATCACGGGACAAGCAGCGGACGTTGAAGTGGGGCCACGGCGTAAAGACGGCAAGCTTGACAGACGGTCTGCAGCCAAGACGGAGGCACAACCAGCCACGGATCCAAGCACGCGCAGCCCCAACTCTGGTTCCAAGCCAGCCACTCGCAAGGCGGCAACGAGCCCCCCACCTGCGCCAATGGCATCAGGCCCCACTCGGAAGGACGGCGCACCAGACATGCGGTATGCTGCGAACCGTGCATCCAGCACTAGCTCCCCCGGGCCGCCTGGGCCTGTTCGACTGGACGGGACTCCCGACATGCGGTATGCTGCGAACCGATCCGCGGCTAGCAGCAGCAGCAACAGCGTCCGCGCAACCCCAGCGCCCAGCAGTGCACCGAGTGGCCCTACGAAGGCCGATGGCACCCCGGACATGCGCTATAGCGCCAACAGGCGCTAGGCCGAGTGTGCACACAACGTCTCACTATGAAAAACATGCATCCTTGTACAATCTGTCATCAGAGCAACTGCAGTAGCATGTAGAGTCATTTACCAATCGTTGTAGCTCCCATTAGCTTTGCAGAGGCCCGTCCATGCGTAGGCCACTTGTCGCTCAATGTCGCGTCGGCGTTCAAGTCGTCATTGGCCCAAAGCAGGTTTGCGTGATCGTCCGTCCTTTTCGCCTGCACGCTCGCCTCCCGGAGCTGCCTCGTCGTTGGCTTGCGCGTGCGACGCATTCGTTGCCGACCTCGATGTGCGTCTTCATCTTCGTCCGACGCTTGCGCTGGCAACGGAAGCCCGTCACCAGCAACGTACATCGGTGCGAGACGCTGCCGGATCAACGCCACCGCGTCGCTGTCGTCCGAGGACAAGTCGGAAGAGAGGCTAAACTGCCGAAGCTTGGTTACCTCTCGGGGGTTCCGTGGCGTCTCGAGGGCAGCAAGACGCGCCTCGAGCTGGTCGAGTTGGGCTTGCATGTCGGCTTGGAGCGAATGCCACGCGTCGCTTCTCGCTGCGAGCGTCCGCTGGAGCGTCGCCAAGTCATTGCGGGTTGCTTGTACAGCAAAAGGGTTTTCGGTCGTGTCGACGGAAAATGCACGTTGCACCAAGCGCACCATTGGTATCGGCAAGAAGACAGCAAGTTGGCAACTGACCCAAGCTCTCCACCGACCAAAAGAGAAGGGGACGCGGTTTGTGAGAGAAATCGACTTGGCGGTCTCGCTTTGAACCTGGCCTGTCATTGGGATTGTACCTTACCAACGGCGTCGCTGCACCAAGCGACCGCGTCGTAGTGCTGTTAGGACCTTTGTGTTCTGCCTGATGAAACACGCGGTTCACCGAGTGCGTCTCAAGATGTCTATCGTCGTAGCAAGCCAACCATTCTGGCGAGGGCGAGTGCAGGACGCAGTTAGATAGGAATACGCAGTGGATTATCATCCAACGTCGATAGGATGACGCTGCTACTCGTGGTGCAAGTGGCCGTCCGCGCCAACGTTCTCGACCGGCACGTCGTTGATGACATTCGGCTGGCCCATCGTGAACGCATGCGGGTTGCAGAGGAATTTCCTGCGGCAAAATGAGCAGTCACGTTACAACACCGAGAGATGCGTACACAAAGGCAGGCGTCTTGAGCACGCGGCGGACGCGCCAGCCGCGGATGTCGGCGATCGTCGGGTAGACGTCTACAGTCTCGGTCAGGCCAAGCCCCAAGTGAGGGTGGTGTACCTTCAAAGAAGTAGTAGATGTGGCCGACGACGATACCAATCAAGTCGATCGTCGCGCTGTTGCCGAGCACCATCGAGAAGAGGAGGAGGACCCATGGAAGGTATGGCGCCGTGAACGGGAAGAGCCCGAGAAAGCTCAGACGCGTGTGCTCGTTACGGCGGCCCCAGATGTACACCATCATGAACGTGAGCGACGACCCGAGAAAGTGCACGCTCACAAACGGCGCCACGAGCTACGAACGCAGCACAGATGAGCTGCAATTGGCCAGGCGCATGGAGCGCAGTACGATCATAAAGGCGGCGCCAAAGAGGATCATGTAGAGAAAGTCGGCCGTCCGCCCGCGGAACGAACCTTCTTCGAGCATGCGCGAGTAGCGGACGCTACATGGCCATGAGACATAGCTCATGCGAGGGTATAGCACTTACAGGAAGTACATGTGGAAGAGAAAGTCGAGGCTAAAGAGGCCAAAGAAGAGGAAGTTGGTCAGAAGCCGCCACACTTGGCCGCGGTAGAAGATGAGGTTGAAGTTGAAGTAGAGCGAGAAGGGCGAGATGAGCTCGAGCGCGCACGCCGCCGTCGTGAGGAAGGCGCCCGTGAGGTACAGCCGGCTGATCACCGGGATCTCGTAGTACCATTCCAAGGGGTCGTTCATGCTCGTGAGCTGTTCCGGCCGCAAGCAAGTATGCGATCCGGCCAATCGCAAGCCAGCACGAAGCCGAGCGAAATTCGGATCCGAGGACAAGTCCGAAACTAACAGAGTGCCCCTTCCCAGACACGAAGCTCCACGACGTCACTCCTTGCAGCGTCCTTAGCATAGCTTCAAGACCCAAGAGCTCGTCGCACATCTTACCCGCACGATTGGAGTCGCTTCGCGAGCCCAGCCTTATGGTCGCATCGCTATAAGCGATATGACATACCGGCTATTAAGAAAAGCTTTTTAATATTTTTTAATAAAGCATGTTAAAAAAGGGCAGTTGCCACCGCGCACCACAGACCAGAGACAAGAGGAGCAGCATGGCGGAGGAGTACCGGCAGCGCCTCGACAACAACGTGGAGAAGCTTGTCGAGAACTTCAAGGGCCTCGTGACCTCGAGCAAAGTCAAGGACCGGACGCAGACGACGCGCCAGGCGCTGCAGAGCGCGGTGTATGCCACGACCCTCGTCCAGGCCAGCGAGTCGTTGCTCAAGCTCGTGGCCGAGCTCAAGCTCAGCTTGACGCTCAACGACTTTGAGGGCATCAACCAAAAGGTCGACGCGACGTGCGAAGCGCTCAAGGAGAAGTGCGACGACGTCGACATCTCGATCATGCATCTCTCGACGGACGTGGCGTCCGCGCTATTTGAGCTCGAAGGCCACTACTACCAAAGCCGATGGCAGACGGCGCCGCCCGTGGCAGCGCCCACCGACGACGACGATGATCTGGACGTGGACATGAAAGACCTCATGTGATGACATCATCCTCCTCTTCATCTAGCATGCTTCCGGCGTCTACTTCTACTATATATACGGTCTGCGTGGCTATTCGTCATCGTCGTCGTCTTCGTCGTCTACGTCGTCGTCCTCTTCTTCGTTCTCATCGTCGTCGTCGAGATCGTTCTCGCCTTCGAGCTCGTCCAGCGCATCGCTTGGCGACGCCGACGCCGCTGCCGTGCCCGCGCTCGAGACCGGTGTGCCCGCAAACGCCGCCGGTACATGCGGCGTCACCGTGCCCACTTGCGAGACCGCGGTGCTAAAGTCGCCGGCCGGTAGCTTGTCGCCTTCCTTGCGCTTCCATTCGAGCATGCGCTGGGCGTTCTCCTTGTCCGCGAGCGGCTGGTAGCTCGCACGCTGGGCCTCGGTGAGTTTTTGCCACATGTCGCCGAGGAGCTTGGAGGCTTCTTTCGCGCTTGCGGTCGGGTTCTGCGCCATGAGCTTCTTGCGCCACTGCCGGCAAAAGATGAGAAAGGTATTGACGGGCTTGGGCGGGCGATTGGGCTTGGCCATCACGGACGGCGTCGCGTTGTTGAAGTACGACATGGGCTTGACCGGGAAGTACGGCAGCATGGGCTGCGGCGCCGGCATCGACGTCGGTCGCATCCGCTTAAAGTCCTGAGGATGTTTGAGTATCCCAGTATGCCATGGCGATGTCTACCTCGCGTTCCAGGACAGGTACGTCGTCGGCCAGGACGTAGCGGATTTTGGGTTCCCAGAGCTTGGCGTCGTCCATGTCACGGAGCGGCTGGGCGACAGGCGGCAGCCGACTCGCTTGGTCCTTCTGCTGTTCGAGGTGGCCCTTGGCGTACTGCTGGAGCTGGTCCCGAATCGACATGGCAATCGCGAGCTCGAATTCGCCGCAAAGTCCCTACAACATATTAAATGAAGGATCGAGGTAGATAGCGCGTAAGTACCATTTCGCTACAAAAGACGCGGGCAAACTGCTCCGGGTCGTTACTCGGGTTATGGAGGTCCCACTCGAACGTGTCGAGGAGAATTGTATCGTTGATGCGGAGCTTGATGTAGATGCGGTAGAGCGCCTCGGACTTGACGACGCTGGACCACGGAAGGTACTTGGTCGCGGCCGCCACCTGCGCCTTGATGGACTCGATGATCGGGGCGTAGAAACAGTCGGGCAAGTCGAGGTCCTTGATGAGCGACGACGAAAGCGTCTCGTACGTGTAGTCGGACTCGTTTCTGATGCCATCAACGAGCATGAGAAGACTTTAGAGAAGGGAGGGAGGCGTACGTGCTGAGCAAGAAGGCGTCAATGTAGCGGTAGCCGTCGACGTCGACGTCGAGTCGGATCGGTATCAAGGACGCATCGGACGCGTTCATCGTCTTCGGGTACTTGTAGAGTGGGTACAGGTCCATCTGGACGGCAGGTTTCCTACGCCCAGCACACGCCATGAGATCGCCACGACGCCAACATGGTGTACCGACCGCTTGAGCTGTTGGCGCTGTAGATGGTCCATGCCATCCAAGTTGGACAAGCGACTTAAATGCGCGTGCTGAGTCATATTCGTCTTGTCCAGCGGCTTGCCACCGCGTCGGGAGACGAGCCAGCCCTCCATGAGGCCGTTGATGCGGGCAATGTTGCCCTTGTACCGACCAAGCATCCACTGCGAGAGCATCGACGCGTTCACGCCACACTCCTTGGACACGTCGACTTGGCGCAGTCCTAAGCGTGTGCGTAGTGCTTCGACCTACATGCAGTGTTGCATGCCATGGATCGCAGACGGGATTGACGCGTACCTCTTGGGCGAGCATCGAGCGCTCGATCTCTGCATTGTCCTATGGAGCGGCGATGAGGCCCGAGCCCGTGCATGTAGCCTCGGAGACGACGAAGCATGCGTCTCGCATGCGTCGTCCGCCCGTCGTCCCGTCGGTACCTGCTGCAGATGCGCGAAATCATTTCCAAGGGCCCTTGAACTCATGCGCTCGAAGCTGCGGTCGCCAATTTCGAAGCCAGCGAAATCGAAGTTTTCACATCGAATTTCGAGAAGATTTCCAAAGGCGCACCCAGATGCGACTCTCCCGCAGAGGCCAGATTTCCACGGACATCCCTCGCTCTTGGCCAATGGCGTTATCGCATTCTCGCATTGTCCGTCGTACGTCGCGGGCAGCCGCGTGGTGCAATCGCACCGGCCCAGCACGCTGCCTTCATCGGAAGGGGATGAGCGACCGTCGCAGGTAGCGCCAAAGCCGCACCGCATTGTCACATATGGGTGCGCTTTATAGACGTATCCGGACGAATAACTGCCGCGGACACAAACGCGCCGGTTTGTGGCTAGGGCTGCGGCTCGGATATCTGTGGCCAGCCATTCAGGGGAATCTCGGACTTTTCTGTCGCAAGGATACCCACATGAAGACAGGCTGCGAAATTGTATAGAATGGAAGGTACCTCAAATAAAACTCGCGTTTCCTTGGCCATCCGCTCAAATTCCTTGGGATTGCATTTGGGAATTGACTTTCAGACACTCACATTACCATGCAGTTCAACGACGTGCACACCGACGGCGGCCTCAAGAAGCTCAACGGCTTCCTCACGGCGCGCTCGTACCTCGAGGGCTTCCAGTTCTCGGCCGCCGATAGCACCACGTTCGCCAAGCTCTCGAGCGCGCCGGACGCCTCCAAGTACCCCAACGTCTACCGCTGGTATGTGCACATCGCCGCCAAGCTCGGCCGTGCCGCGTACGCGCCCAAGGCTGCTGCCCCGGCCGCCGCCAAGCCCGCCACGCCTAAGGCCGCCACGCCCAAGGCTGCCAAGCCCGCCGATGACGATGATGATGACATGTGGGGCGACGACGACGAGGAGGAGGACGAGGCCGCCAAGGCCGCCGCCAAGAAGCGCGCCGACGCTGCCAAGGCCTCGAAGAAGGAGAAGGCCAAGCCGATTGAGCGCTCGCAGGTCGTGATTGAGGTCAAGCCCTGGGAAGCCGAGACCGACCTTGAGGCGCTTGCCATCAAGATCAAGGCCCTCGAAGTCAACGGCCTCTCGTGGGGTGAGGGCCACAAGCTCGTCCCGGTTGCCTTCGGCATCAAGAAGCTCCTCGTCCAGTGTATCATTATTGACGAACTTGTCTTGTTGGACGACATCACGGAAGCCATCGAGCAGTTCGAGGACGACGTGCAGTCGGTCGACGTCGCCTCGATGAACAAGATGTAAATTCGTCGGTGTTTCTATCTTCTCTTTAATTAGTACAACAAGTAGACAGTAGTAGATTGATTAAAACACTAGGCTATTTGTCTGTCACGTCTCCCGACTCCTCGCGCCGCAATACTACAGCGCCCGACGCACCCATGTTGAAGCTCATGCCACAGGATTCTGAGAAGATCCAAGTTGCGATCTTCCATCCTTCGAAACGCCACGTCGTCCGTACATTCCAATGGATCGCACCGCGCTGCTGCACCGAAATAAGGGCCGCGCACGCTACCACGCGCTCTGGACGTACGTGGCTGCCGCCGTGGCCATCGCGGTCGCCTACTACGGTCCGCTCTATGGCCTTGGCACGAGCCTACCCAGCCGCATTGACGCCTTTGAGGCGTGGTTCCGCGCCCACGGCGGCCTCGCGACGCACGTGCGTCTTGCGCCGTTCGAGGGGATGGGCCTCGGCCTCCAAGCCACCGCCACGATCCATGCCAACGACCAAGTGCTCTTCGTGCCCAGCGACATCATCATGTAGTCGTCGTCGATACGAAGAGGACGCTGACTTGCTTGCGTAGCGGTCGCGACGTGGCCTTGAACGCGCTGCCGAAAGCGATGCGAAAGAAAGTGACCGCCCTGTCTTCCGACAACGACGTGCTCGCGACCTTCTTGGTCTACGAAAAGCTCAAGGGGCCAAAGTCCAAGTGGGCGCCGTACCTTGCGGTACGTACGCCTCTGTGACACCAAGTGTGATGCAATGGAAGTAGGTTTTACCGACCGAAATTGCGCTGCCCATGGAAGCGCCGGACGCTGCGCTACTCGAGTTGCAGGTCGACCCTCATTGCTCCAATGACAGCCTCGTCATATATCAACGAATAGGATCCCGGTCTTGTCCAGACCATTCGCGCACGCCAAGCCGCCCTCCGCGCCAGCTTTGCGACGCTCGAGTCGACGCTGGCGCGCTTCTTCGCGCCGTTCGGGACACTACCGACGCTCGTAAGCATGGCGTCCTGCCATCAACGAGCTTCATGTTGGCTAGGAGCTCCACACGTGGGCGCATGCAGTGCTGTCGTCCCGCGCCCTCACAATCTCGGGGCGCCGCCTCCTCGTGCCCTTTGCCGACATGTTTAACGGCAAGCCGCACGAGGTACAACTCGGTTGGACGTATAAAACGCGCTGCAAATCGCTTTAGGTCGCGCGGGCGGCCCGGGGCGGCGCACACTTTCTGGACTTTCACCGCTTGGAGAAGGACGGCATGTACATTTTGGCCGACCGCGCTGTTGGCCCACTCGACCAGCTCTTTGAAGACTATGGCGACAGTCCGAATCACATGTTGCAACAAGCTTCTCGGTCGTGGGTATTGATACCTTGATAGTTACTTTGTGCACCACGGCTTTCTCATGGACGCCAACCCATTCGACTGCGTGCACGTCCTTCTGCCGCTATCGGCGCTACCGCCGTCCTTGCAGGCGCCATTTCGCCGGCTCTTGTACAGCGATGAGATCGTCGACGACATGCTCCAAGCGTGCTTTACGCCCACCGCCACGTACGCGATCGACCAACGACACCAATAATGATGTACAGATGACGCAGAACAACGAGTGCAGTCGCCAGCGCCTACCTCCAGCTCGTAGTCTTGAGCGAAAACGAAGCGACGCGCTGCGTGACGCAGCTCGCGTCCTGTGCCAACGTCCACGTGGACGTGCCCACGCTGCTAGGTCGGGACACCAAGTACGCCGAGTGGCTCCTCGCTCACATCCATAAGCAAGTCGCGGTACGCCGTGTTATCAGTCCCTAGTCGTGGGGTGCTGACAAATATATGTAGGCATCGCCGACGCAGCTCCAAGACGACTTGGCGCTCCTGAGCGATGGCAGCGCGCCGTACCCGTACGCTTGTCTCTTCTAGAAAGCGCTCTGCATGAGTGTGTTGTAGCCACTTCGTCGCGTACCGAGCGCGCCAAAAGCAACTTTTGCTGCGTTTGCAAGCGCATTTGACGCAGCTGCCGCCAGTTGCGCATGTACCGGCGCCGAAAAAGTCGCTCCAAATCCCGATTGCCACGACCGCTGTCGCCGCGCGCCTCGCCCGCTTCCACGAGTGGGTCACCTCGTTTGACGTTCCGTCGCTCAAGATCCGCGTGCAGTACAGCGGTCCGCTGCTCGGGTTTGGTGCGTTTGCCACCGACGACATTGGCCTCGATGAGATCTATGTGGCGATCCCACCGCTCATGCTCATGGACGTGGCTTCGGCCATGCGCTGCACTGTGCTCGGACCCGTCTTTCGATCGCTCTATTCGTCGACGGGCAGCCGCGATCCAATGCACGAGGTACGGCCGTCGTCGTTCTCTTCTAAGTACTGATTGCGCCAGTAGCTGCTGCTGCATGTCATGCACGAACGCTACGTGCTTGGCGACGCGTCCGCGTGGTTTCCGTACTTGGATCTCTTGCCAGCGCTCAATGAGGTGCCCGCGACACCTCTCTTTTACACGTACGCATGATACCGCAATAAGTACCGCGTCTGAGAGGGCGAGTAGCGAGGCCGAGCTGGCGCTTTTGGAGGGTACTGACCTTGGCGGCCTCGTACTAGCGTATCGCGACCAAGTGACCAAGAGCTACGACGCCATTCGACGCGTCGTCTTGACCAAGTTCCCAGAGGTACTCGATGCATGCGGTCGTGAGGCGCTGAGGATGAAGTAGGTCTTCCCGAGAGACGTCTTTTCTTTGGCTGCGTACACGCACACGCGGTTTCTCCTGGACACGCGGAGCATCTGGTGGGGTGGCGAGCGTCACTTGGTGCCGATCTTGGACATGGTCAACTGCTTGGGCGAGGGCCCGGTCCATTCGACGGTCCTTGAAAGCGGCGTCTCGGCCGTCGCGCCAACCGAGGCGTTTGCGTCGACGCGGGCCAAGACGGCGTTCGCAGCCGGCGCCCAAGTGTTTGAAAACTACGGCCAGCCCAATTGGATCTACCTCTTGTACCATGGCTTTGTCCTCGAGAAGAACCCGTCCGACTGTCTCCACGTCATCCTCAACTTTGCATCCCTCGTATGTTGAGCCCGATGCGTCCGTCGTCGTCACTTGTCTATCGTAGACTACCGTTGACGCCAACGTGCAAAAGCGCATGGCATCGCGGCTGCAGACGCTGGGCGTCGCGTCGCCGGCCGCCGAGTTTTGCCTCCAGCTCACCGACGAAATCCCCAAATCGCTCCTGACGGTGGCCGCCATGTATACCACATCGAGCGTGGCGCGGGGCGTCTCGCTCGAAGCGCAGTGGCAAGCGCTGCATGACGTGCTTTCCCAGAAGCGGAGCGTACTCGCGGCCAAGCTCCAAGTGCCAGAAGCCGACTATGGACGGTACAAACATCGACTCGATTGACTTGCGGTCAAGAAACATGTAGGCGCGGCAATGGGCGGCGCAACGAAGCCACGATCCGGCGCTACCTCGAAAGCCAACTGCATCTCCTAGATAGACGTCTTGATGAGCTCACGATGAAGCTAAGCGAACCGCTCATGTAATGAGAGAATCGTACGTCAAATACTTGACAACATGGCCGCGGGAGCTGCGGCGGCAGGCCGCCTTGGCTGCATGCGGGACTGCTTCGTACGTGAGATGGACGATGATGAAGCACATGTGGAGAAGGTAGAGCCACTTGAGGCCACTGCAAGCGACCTCAGCGCAGCCTCGAACCACCTCCATCTGGCAGATCTGGAAAACGATATCCTTGGGTGGCATGTTACAAGTGTTATAACACAGCTCCCGAGTGCAAAGATGGGGATGGTGCGACGTCGCTAATTTCCTGAACGTCGGCACCGAGCAGCCTGTATACATCCTGCAAGTCATGCTCGGTTAGAGGAAAGGCTCTGGCGTGTCCTTGTTGCTACTACGAGCGCTGATGTTGCGGGACAGCTTACTCACATCCAACACGAGCTAAGACTGACACAGTTATAACAATCCTGGAAGATCTGACAGGCGAACCGGCTGGTTGCGTATTATCCGGTAGCCTTCAATATCCGGTTAGCATTGCCCTAGCAGTTTTCATCAAGCGACGCAGAGCGAAGCGCAAGACCATGGCCTACATCTCCGGCGGTAGGGTCGTGGAGCAGCGCTCATGGCTGCGCCTGTCCATCTTCCCCGACATGTTCTGGGGCCTCCTCAGCATCATCCAGCTCTTGTAAGTGTCCATGCACTAGGTTGCTTGCGCCTAACGATGACCGTAGCTTCTCGACCTTCTTTGGCGGGGTAATCCCAACCTTGCTTGTGGCCCTCGATGGCATCTCATAGCGGCTACGTACAGGCGCCTGACACCAAGTACTCGTCCAGTCGCCGCGGTGGAGGCGGCGGCGGTGGCGGTCCCGGCGGTCCACGACGCCCAATCGGTCGCCTTCAACCCAGCACGTGCGTCCCAGGTACATGACCTCGCTGAAGGCTTGGCGATCTTATATGCATCTTATAGCTGGCGGCGGCTGAGGTTAAGCGCGCCATGCGAGCCGTCGTACCGTCATAGGACGACGTCGCTCGGCATGGCAGTCGTACTCGCAAAGCGCGCAGGGATATGAAGCAGCCGAATGACTCGACGTGGCGAAACCATCCCGCTATGGTGCCACGTGGACGAAAGTGCTCCATCTTCCAGAGACGCATCCGACTCGAACCAGGGACACGGCGTCCAAGCCCACTGGTTGGATCCACGAATGTCTCTTCTTAATCCACATAATCCCACGCCTTTGCAGTCTCGTACCATGTCCTAGCTGCGACGTAGGGGACGAAAATTGTAATTGTGTGTTATATAATCCGGCGCCGTCATCGTCGTCGTCGTTAATTTGTACGTCATGTGCGGCTTCTCTATCTCTTGGTCTTGGCCCGCTTGGCGTGGCCCTTGGTGACGTTCTTGAGCTTGCGCTTCTTCGTCTTGGTCGGGTCCTCCTCGCCGGTCGAGGCCTTGGCCTTGCCCTTGTTCTCTTCGCGGCCAAGCACGTGGTTGAGCACATGCATCGAGCGCTCCTTCTCCGTCTTCTCGGCGCCCGTGACGCTCAAAAACTTGTTGCGCTTGCCCGTCTGCTTGCGCTCGGCCTCGCCCGTGCGCATCTTGTCGAACTTGCCCATGGACGCGGTCGAGAACTGAACCTTCTGGAGCGCCGCCTTCGTGCCCTCCTTGCCGCGCTGCTTCATCTTCTTGTCGGACGTGTTGAGCATCTCGACGGGGATGCCGACAGGCGTCGCCTTGGGCACCGGCACCGACGGCTGCATGCCACCCGCACGCTTGACGTTGGCGGCCTGGTTGCGCAGGTTCTTCTGGACGCGCTCGTTCTTGGCCTGCTTGCGCTCGGTCCACGGGTCGGCGAACGGGTCGTCGTTTTTCTTGACGGGCACCGCCCAGTCCTGCATGTCGTCGTTCGCGCGCTTGTAGCCCCAGCGCGGCGCCCACGCTTGCTTGGCTTCGTCCCAGACCATGCGGTCCTTCTTCTTGTTGTCGACGCCCTTCTCGCGTGCGTACTTTTCCCAGCGCGTCTCCGGCTTGGGCTTGGGCAGCGGCTTCTCGCGCGGAATGACCGTCGTGCCCGTCGGCAGCTGCGCCATCGGGCCCATGTCGGTCATCTGACGCGGCAGCTCAAAGATCTGGTTGATGAGCAGCTGGACGTTGTCGCGCGCGCTCGCCTTGAGCTCCTTCTCGTCGGACGCGTTCTTGACGCTGAACGGGTGCGTGTCAAAGGCCGCGAGGTTGCCGAGGTCGTAGCTCAGATCGTCGGCCTTGGCGACGACGCTGCTGCGCGCGCCCTCCGAGTAGGCGGCCGGCGCGATCTCCGCTGCTTTGATGGCCATAACTTGGACTTTGGCAACTTGTAAGCGCCACCGAAATCGCCAACCCAAATCGATTGGTCCAAACTCAGAGGGTTAAAAATAGAAAGCCTCTGATATTATATAATTATTCCCATCAAACGTTGAGGTATATGCAAATAGAGAGGTATTCGTGGACACCGATGGATAAAAACACCCAATGGCGCGCGTCCCGCTGGAGCTGTAAGCACACTGGCAAACGTCACCGAGGCAGGCTCTACGTACTATGTATTTAGGTTCCATACCAAGCTGATGGGTCTACGCTCCAAGGGTTTTGTACGAGATAGAATACGACTTGACCTGCAGTAAGGAGATCCCTTGGGCGTCGACATCCCTTTCCATGCGGTCGACCGATTTACTCTTGGGTACCTTGACGACTAGTAGATCAACGTTGGCTCAACGCGCCAGCAATGAAAAATGTGTGAGGTAACTTGATCCCACCGACTTCAACTGAATGACAGTCTGTACCTGGTCGTCGATCCGTTGGATCTCATTTAACAGACCAAGCAGCTTGGCACCGTCAAGGTACACTAGACCACTGACTAGACCACGGGCCATTAGATACTAACTCTTTCGAGACGCTAAACGCGTGGAAAAGTTGGCAGTATAAACCAGTTTCCAGAGCGTTCACGAAGCGTGTCGCACCGCTGGCGTCCTCAGCCGTGCCACAGCCGCAAGGCGACGTTGCCGGCAACCTCTACGCGATCCTTGTCTGTGTAATTCTACGTCGATGCACCAAGCGGCTGCGCTAATACCTCGAGCGCTGGGACAGCATTTCGCGGGCGAACTAAATTGCGTGTTTTTAAAGCTGCCGTATTTTTGCACCTGGGATCTGTGGCAGCACATTTCCGATCGACCGAGCTGGGACAAGCCGAAGATGAGCCGCCACCGCAACTTCCGCAACCGCGCCTACTCGTACGATGACGAAGGTACGCGCTGCCAGCACTCGCCAGCCATGAGGCCACGGCGGCCATGTAGAGTACGACGAGGACTATTATGACGAGGAGCCGTACTCGCCCAACTCGCGTAAGATCGCAGCATGCTCGCCTCGTACTAGCGCCACGCCGTAGAGGCTCATCTGTACCGGCGCGACTCGCCGACCAAGTCTGTCTTTTCTTTCCTCGAGCAGCAGCCCAAGGACACCGAGGCCTTTGACGACTCGGGTACATGTGGCAGCATGAATGCTCCTCTCGACGAATTTGCCGCCTCGTAGAGCTCATCCAGCCGATTCTGGACCAAATCAAGCGCACGTTTGACGTTGGCGTCATGCCGCATGCGACGCTCGTCGAGCAAGTTCGCAGCAACAACTACGACGTCGATAAGACGGTGATCGCGCTCATGGAGCTCAAGAAGAAGACGACGTCCATGACTGCAGGTACGCATCCCTTCCTCCACGTCGTCAACATGTCACAAAACCTCTAACGATACACTGTACAGTCGCGAGCTTACCCAAGCAGATTGTGATCCCGCGCCTCGAGACGCTCGCCCTCGACGAGCCCAAGGCCAAGGCCGCACCGGGTATACCCATCATCGAACGCATTCATCATTCATTGCATGGACGGCGTAGCACCCAAGAAGGTCGAAGCGCAGCCGGTGGCTTCGTCCTCGAACGCGGCACTCGTTGGCTACCAGCTCACGCCGACGGAGCGGGCGGCGTTTGAGAAGGCGGAGAAGGCGAGCCAGGACAAGTGTCTTGGCGCCATGACGGCCGAAGCCGACGCCAAGCACAAGATCAGCATGGTCGTGATCGGACACGTGGACGCGGGCAAGAGCACGATCACGGGCCACCTCCTCTTCAGCCTCGGCTACGTGAGCAAGCAGGTCATGCACAAGTACGAGAAGCAGTCGCGCGAGGCCGGCAAGTCGTCGTTTGCATTTGCGTGGGTCATGGACGCCGACGAGGAAGAGGTATCTCTATCCTGCCCCGGGGCGCAGCTTCATTACCATGGTTGCGTAGCGCCTGCGCGGTGTCACCATGGATGTCGGCACATCGTACTTTCAGACCGCAACCAAGCACGTGACGCTGCTCGATGCCCCGGGGCACCGTGACTTTATCCCGAAGATGATTGCCGGCGCGTCGCAAGCCGATGTCGCCGTCCTCGTTGTGCCTGCGTCGACGGGCGAGTTTGAAGGCGCGTTCATGAAGGACGGCCAAACCAAGGAGCACACGCTGCTCGTGCGCAGCCTCGGCGTGACGCAGCTCATCGTCGCTGTCAACAAGATGGATTCGGTGCCGCCTCGTAAACTTTATATTCGTATTCTTAAGCTGTCTAGATCAATTGGGCCAAAGACCGCTTCGATTTCATCGTCGAGACGCTCACGGCGTTCCTCCAGCAGTCGGGCTTCAAGCTTGACCAGTTGCGGTATATTTGCTCAATTCTTTTTGTATTTTCACACTTTGAAATGCTGTAGCTTTGTGCCGGTGAGCGGTCTCTCGGGTGGAAACCTCATTGCGCCGCTACCCGCGACCGACTGCGCGTGGTACAAGGGCCCGACGCTCGTGGGGGCCATCGGTACGATTTGGATGTAGTTTCAGCCAAATTTTATAAGCAAATTTGCCTAGATGGCTTTTACCCGCCCCAGCGCCCGGTCACCAAGCCGTTCCGCATGGGGATTTCGGATATCTCCAAGTCGATGAGCCTCGGGCAGACGGTGTCGGGCCGCATCTATACGGGCGCCGTCTCGACCGGCGACACGGTACTTGTGACTTGAGATCTCGCAGATGCCTTATAGATGTATGTAGCTGCTCTTGATGCCGGGTGGTCTCCGTCTCACGGTCAAGGGTAGACATCTCTATCGTATCTGAAACGACAGTGCATTTGTGGTTAGGGATGGAGCAGAACGGCGGGTCGATTCTCATGGCGTCGGCTGGCGACAATGTCGATTTGGGCGTCACCGGCATCGACCCGAGTGCACTGAGGTACTACGATCGACTCTTTTGTATTTACGTTGAATTCGGTTTCTTTATGTAGCGTCGGCAACATTCTCTGTTCGGTCGCGTCGCCCATCAAGGTGATTTATCCACTAAAGTACAAAGGGTTAGGAAATATGAATTAGCTCGTGCGCCGCTTTGAGGCGCAGATCATGACCATGCCGGGGGTCGAAGTGCCGCTTGTCAAGGGCGCGTACATGACGTTCCACATCCACAGCATCGACGAGCCGGTCAACATTACGCGGCTCGTGAGTCTCTTGAAGAAGTCGGGCGAAGTCGAAAAGAAGAAGCCGCGCTGCATCACACGCAACTGCTCGGCCGTCGTGCAAATCACGTGCACGCGGCCCATTTGCCTCGAGCTCTTTGCCGACTTTCGCCAGCTCGGCCGCTTTACGCTGCGCGACCGTGGCGCGACGCTCGCCGCCGGCATCATCACCGAGATCCTCGCATAAGAATGTCTTTGCTGCCACTTGGTTCAATACAACAACAGCCTGCATCCATGCGCCTCCCCACCTTCATGTTAGATCAGCAGTAGCAGCAGAGACAACGGGTGGTCGCTCCTCGGTACAACTGCAAGGTTTCGGCCGACATAGATCGCAAGGAAGGCGGCAAGGTCGGCCTCGGATGACAGCTTGGCACTGGCGACTCTAGTCGTACTGGTCGAAATAGCCCTCGCACAAATTATGGCTAGCTAGTCACAGTCGGGACATGGTTCCGTCAATCGGCAGACACCGAGCGGCCTTGTGGCCCTTTGCCAAGCCACCAGCATGACCGCCATCCGGTTGACTACATGTCTGCGGCCACCGCTTGCCTCTTGTCGCCTCTACAAGCAGCTCTGCGATCGCACTGAAATGGAATTGCTCAGCACCAGCAGTCAAGACGGCGTGGCGTCAACGCTCAGTGCGCCTTGGCCCTCGATGTGAATGGGACAGTCGCTGGTCCGAGCTGGAACTGATAAGCATGGCAAGCATCTCAACGGCTACCGTCGACCAAACCAAGCGATTTGAAGGACGACGGTTTGTCCCTCGAAATGTATTCGGACAACAGTCTCTTCTTGCTCCCGTTGGTGCCCGCTTCTACGATCCCCGCCCGAACGGCTCCACCCAGAAGGACATCGTCATCGAGGTCGCATCGTCGTTAAAGGTCACAAGTCAACTTTGGTGCCAACCAATCAGTGCCTCGATGAATTGCATGCGAAACACAGTCCATCATCAAATGCAACGTGGGTGGGGTAGCGAATGACTACAGGGCGGGGACCGTCAGAATGGGCTGATACCCCAGCCAAATCGCAAGAAAGACGACCCTCTTTGAGCTCGTGAGAGTGCGGACGGCGGCACCGTCCAATGCGCCGCGAAATTCGGGACGATGGGAGGCGAGACATGCTTCCTTCGTTTGCGCATGTGTTCAAGTGAGTACTCCAAGGTTTGAGCGTCAGAACCGAGAGCGCGTGGCAGCTCCTCAACGTTCGTCTTCTGGGCCAAAACCTGGAATCTTCATGTCGAACCAATACATCTCGTCCAAGTTGGTCCAGGTTCTGATCAAGATGATGAGTGTCGCCGTCCAGCGAGACGTCATCCAGCGTCAGCACCCGCAAGGACGGCAAGTCAGTGATCGCGAGCACAGGCATTGCCACCTCCAGGCTGCCGTGTCGGAGCACGAACTCTTGCAGCAGCGGCATCTTGGCAAGATACGGAAGGAGGCCGCTGAGCTCGACAAAACACCGTGCTTCGAGGCGCGTGAGCTTGGGGAGGTCGAGCAAATGGCGAGTGCCCTTCAGGATGTGGGGACATGACACTTTGTGCCTTTTAAAATCGAAGAGGACAAGAAAAAGGAAGAGTTCAACCATCGACAGGCGCGATCAATGACCGCTTCGTCGTGGTGGGCGTCCCACTGGCAGTGATACCATCACGATTCAAGCTTCATTTCATATACAAAATTCAATGAAGGCAAGACGGAAGAAAACACTGGTATTCATATCGACGTGCCGACACACGCCGCCTCGCTGGCGTGGTACACGACCAAGAAGCTCGGTAGCCTTCTTGACGACGCGGCCAATTTGCGCGCCTGGAAGCGACTAGCGACAGCGGCGTTCAACAACATGTGGAAGATCTGGATGCGGCGAGGCCTCAACTCGGAATGCACCCGTGTGCGGATTTTACAAGTGCTACGTTCTCCCAGTCCTTTTGTACAACTGCGGCACGTGACCTCTGACGCCAACCAGCCTCGCGGGCCTTGACAGCTTCCATCACCGGCAGCTGCGTGGTCTGCCCTGGATCTTCCACCCGAACACGCTTGCCGACGTCGCGCTCTACAAACGCTGCGACAGCGAACCGTTTGAATACGATCATCCCCCGCCAGCGTTGGCAGGGTCGCGACGTCCCGGCCAACGTGGCTGCGGACCGCTTCTTTGCCCCATCCGAGGCGCCCCGTTTCTTGGGCACACCAAGATCACGCTGCCGATCGTCCTGCACCGCGACCTCCAGTCGATGACGCCGCCTCAGTCGCTGGCGTCTCCCGACGGCCTTGACAAACTGCGTAGCTTTGCCGCCGACCGCGACGCCTGGAAAGATTGTACCGACTGTGTCGTCCAGTGCCTCACCCGCGGCCACAAGCGTCGTAGGGCGACGACAGAAGAGCCAGACGAGCCCCGCGCCGCCGCCTGCGCAGCCACGGCCGTCGAGCGAATGAAGAAGAAGCAGCTCTTATTGGCAATCAGCCAATGCCTGATCTCGAAAAATCGATAAGCCAATGCCCATTCTCTAAATATCGAGCAGCCAATGATGCCTAGTCTTCTTTAACGCATCAATCGATGACGCGCAAGCAACATGCATGGCATGGTGCTGCCTTCGTCAAAGACTAGCATTAGATAACATCGATCAATATTAGCCACTGCTATGCTACATCCAACAATGTATGGGATATGTGACTGCAATTGTACGCGTGTGGTGTGGCACCGCGCAGAGTTGCCAGGTCTAGGGGTTTCGGGATCGCGCGCTGCCAATGTCGCTCCAAGCTGTCATCGAGAGTCGTAGTCGCGTAGTGGTCGCAAAGACGTGGGAGCTCATCGAGCTCGGTGACGGAAATGTCGTCTCGTACGACGCTACTCGTTGCGCTCGCTTGGCCGCCGCGCGATAGAAGCGCGCGTGGCTAGCACACTACGACAGACAAGCATGGCCAGCGATTGAGGTCGCACACACGAGCGTGCATCGTCGGCCGCTTGCCGCCGAGCTGCGGCAGTACATAGCCCTTTAACCAAAAATCGACCAATGCCAGGTCTCTATTCCACCTAATCCTACGAGGTCGTCCCACGAGTCATGGGACGACCCATATGCTAAATGAATCTAATTTAATATCTCGTGAGTTTCGTTTAGCAAAGGGGGTTGCATTGAATATCAGTCTCAGCGAAGCGCAAATACAATAATGACTTGCACAGATCGTAGACCGACGTGTTGGGGGGGTGTATATCATCGTGTGGGACCCATTAAATCATGGAATACGAAGGCTAACCGAGTTTGTATGGATAGTCTGGGATCCTATGGCATGGTGGCCAACGTTGACGATCACACATGTATCGGGCTGTCCGGCGGTTTCGTTACCTAAATATGGCAAAACGCCAATATTAGGCATTGTTGCAGCCGCACGTCAAATTACATTGTCATTGGCTACAAACATCAATACGTTTTATTCATTTGGATTCATTATTAATAGCCAATCAAATGCCGACTTGGCCAAAAAAGCTTCTTCGTGAAACCCCAAATCGCCGCCATCTTGAAATACACGCTAGACAACCACCCTTTTCAACACCATCTTGATTTCGTGCATTGTCGTTCTCTCTCGTCACTGTAGAAAGACGGGAATGTGGCTGCAAAGGCTGCACGCGTACGCGCTCGGACTCGCTTCGTTCGCCGTCGTGCTCGTCGTGCTCTAC